AAGCGGAGGGAGGGTGGGACAGCAACATAAGTTTTCTGTGTAGTATTTTCAACCTGGTATTCTTTCTTTTGAGCCTATCCCTGAGACGTTTGATCCCAGGGACTGTGGCACTCCCCAGTTGGGAAACAAAGGCCTGCCGAGTGATTGAGTTCGATCATTTATATGATCATATTTCGGAGGAAATATTCGCAATCATAATGATTGTACATGTCGAGTTTTGCCACAGAGAATATCATGTCCATAATTATTTTTGGGGGGCAAGTGCGGGCGGCAACAAAAAATACTGGTTGCCTTCACCACCACCACCACCTCCAACATCATCGTGATGTGTCCTCACCATCATCATCATCATCATCGTCATCGTCATTTCGACCGGGATCGTCATCGTCATCAACGTCCTAGCTGGAATATGTTCACTTGCAGAAAGTTGGTAACCTTGAAAACATCATCGCAACATGCGAAAGCCAAGCTGCAAAACGTGAACAAATGCTGCTAGAAGAGCTGGTGTCATCCCAAAGGATTTACACCGCTTCCGATGCCAGACTCCGAAAAGAACTTGAGGAATTAAAACAGTCAAGAGTTACTGACGCACTTGATGTACAAATGCGGGAGAATGCGTTTGCACAAAGGTTGCAAGAAGAAGCCTCTAATGCGATGAAGGAGTCGCAACAAGAACTGGTGCAACAGTTCCAGGCTAACTTTGAACAGTATCGGCTTAGGGCACGTGAAGAGCACAGGGTGACTGTTTCTGAACTTCAGGAGCAGAATGATGAGCTTCAGGAAAGGTTGGAATCTGCTGAAAGGCCTCTTGAGAAGAGCTTGCAAGGGTTTGATGCTCCAAACAGTTCTATGTTTTTAGGTATATAGGAGTTCTCAGACCCTTGGCAGGCTGCTGACAGGCGGTTCAGCATGACTCACTTTGCGCAACCCAAAAACATAAAGTGTGCTCCCACCGAACTCCAGGCAGCACTGGCGCAGGCAGCCCGTGTAAGTCCACGAATCCAGATTCCCTGAGGTTTTTCGGTTCTGGGTTCGTCATTTTTCCTACGTCCTTCATCTTCCCCGCGCCTGACACCCGCGTTTTTCCCAAGTCCAAGGACTTGCTGACTCCTCCACGCACCCTCTGCAGTCGTTCGCTTTTTTCGCAGTCTCACATGCCGAGAACAAGTAGGGCAGTGCAGAGAATTGCGGACGCAAGCGAATGCGCTTGTTTGCTGTCAGTGGCTTACTCGCTTCGTCTGCACCAGTGCTTTAACATTGTTTGTGACATTTGTTGTATGATGCATCAGGATTCCTGCACAGCCTCGCCACCACCTTTCTAGCGAAGTCCCGAAAACGTCAGTGAACCGCGAGAGCGGCTGGCAAGTCCACGTTGTGTAATACCGCTCCAAAGGCTCGTACAAAGTCCCGAAGGCAATTGTTGCTGCGGACAGTGGCTCTTCTGGACATCATTTCGGGTTGCTTCCTGGTGCAGAACACGTCTGGCCTCGTGGTTGTGACCTGCAGCCAGCGAGCGAATGGTTTCCCAGCCAGCGATCGGTGGTGGTGTTCCCATCCGATCAAGGCCCAGGCTGAGAGAAACACATCGTGAGTGCAACGGCAAGAGTAAAACTTTTGATGCCGGAAGCCTAGATCTGTTCGTATTTCTTGTCAAAAAGAACGATTGTTCATTGTTGCAGGCTGTGAGTTAGGAGTTAGGACAACAGCAGCAGCGTAGCACTGCAGCACAAGCATTAACGAGTATGACCATCAGAAAAGTAATGCCTAGCAGGATGACAACTTTACTGCAAACGATGTTCATGTAGTAGCTGTGGCAACCGCAACCGGCACCCTAAATGGTTTTCTTGAAAAACTCATAACCGCTACCGCAACCAATACAAAAAACTTAATCTTCGAAGTCAAAAGATTTCGGTACCTAGAGCAGAAGAGACAGACGTGAACCCACAAGTAAAATCTAACGTTTCATGTGCACAAAGCATGAAGCTTTAAAACTGAGCTTAAACCCGCAACCTTCATCTGCATGCAAGAAACTGCCCATGTCGCGCCATGCGTGGCTGCGGGCTTTACTCTCTGGGCCGAAAGCAACGAGGCCCGTCAACTGTGCGAACTCCCACGGAGCTGTACGACGAACGAGGGGTTAAGGTGTAGGGGCCTAGTGCTTTTAGAGTTTGGGGACTGGAGATTAAGTTCGGTCTATCACTCTGGAGGTTTACGATTTAGGGTGTTAGCACTTGGCATTGCTGGTGATTGGTTGTTGCTCTAGTCTGTTATGAGATTTGTCAGTGGTCATCTTGTGCGTATCAGTACAGATCCGAGCCCTGTAGATTTCGAGTTGTTGTGGTATTGCATTTATTGGCATTACTCGAATGGTTTATCTCGAATGTGGTTCCTCCGGAATGCTAGAGCTTATGCCCTCCAAATTCTAGTTTTTGTTGGAGAGTTTGGACGTGCCAGCTGCACGACAAATCCAACTGCTGTCAGCATGCCTTGCGTTAACGCCATTTCCTGATCCCAGAGATACGGCATTTCAGGTTCTCGATGTCGGCTTGTCTTGTGAACGAGTACTGCTAGAAGACCAGCGGGTCGGGTCTGAAGGCAGCCAGGACACCGAATCCAGATGTCAGCCCAACCCAAAAGTGAAATGTTCATCATTTCGATGATTAGCACCAACAGCGATAGTAGCAGTAGCAGCAATGATCATGATGTCAGTGACACTTGAGGCAACAGTAATAGAACAGGCGTAGCAGTTGCCATACGCACACTGCCAATACTAATGGCATTCGTACTAGCAAGCATGATTCACCATACTATATAGTTATGTAGCCCTGCGACTTGCTGCTCCTAAACCCTAAGCCCAACACCCTAAACCCGAAACCCTGACATTCTACCGCAGGACCAGCGCGGCAGGCTCACACGAAGCCCCCTGAGCCGGGCAATGGACTGGATCCCAGTCGCTGTTGCGTAAGTTCGCTTTCGCGTTCAAAGGGTTAAGGATTTAGGGTTTAAAGTTTCGGGGGTTAAGGGTTAAAGTGCACGTGCGTCAGGTTTAGTTGCTGAGGGTTACGGTTAGAATTTGTGAGGTTCACAGGATGCAAGGCATTCCTTTCTTCATTTTGCTTCCGGACCAGGGGAATTCAGTGGGATACTGCAACATTCTAGGACATTTTCAGGTGGGTAGTTGCCGTTTTAGGAGCCTTATAGAAGGCCTAGGAGCCTTATAGAAGCACTATATACCCTAAGCTCCCTACATGCAGTTTCCTTTAAAACAGAGTTTCAGCTTAGGGCCAGCAGAGAAATATAGAAGCCTGGACAAGATGAGACGGGGCGTTCATTGCATTGTTGAGGGGTTGACAGCTGCTGTTGTGGCTTTGTGGCTCGGACGGGTGGGATGTGACACCTGATTGCAAGCCCAAGCCGCCTCTAACGTCGATCGGAACGGGGTGCATTCGCAAGATGCTCATTCATTGACACATCCAGAATTTTTAGAGGAGGAGTCGCAGTGTACCAGTAGTCGTAGCGGCACCAGTAGTAGTGCTGGTGGTCGTGGTCGCAGTAGTGGTAGTGCTGGTGGTCGTGGTCGCACTTGGCAGTGATGGTGGTAATGTTTGTAGTTGCGGTTGTTGTAGTGGCAGTGGTGCGGTAGTTTTCGTGGTTGTGGTGGCCTCAGCAGCACCTGCAATAGAGCAGCGAAGTCGTGCAGGAGTGGAGCAGTAGTAGCATGGCGCATGAACAAAGTAGTAGAGTCTAGAGTGGTTACGTGACAGAGTAGAGAGAGAAGTATTCGTAGTAGTCGTGGTTGTGGTCATCGTCGTCATCGTCGTCGTCGTTGTCGCAATCGAGAAACTTACACACACACACACAGACAGCGAACACTATCTCCACGAGAGCCGTTTCACTCGGTATTTACAATACTTTCGTGATGTCGGACCCTCTTACTTGCTCATCAAACCTACTTACTTCTGGACTTTGCGAACTCGACTTTGGGATTGCGGCGAAAACTCGAAATTGGGTGGGGGATAGCTTTTCGGCGGATGATCATGACACTGTTTCGCGGACACCCCGAACAATATCTCCACACCTAGAGCACACACAACACAGTACTTCAAAAGCAACCCTCCTACACCGAGGTTTGGGCTTTAGGCGAGCTCCTCCCACGTACAGCTGGCATCTTTGTTGTTGATGTTGATAAGATGCGGCGCTTCAGGTTTTAGGAGTGTTGGAACCTTCTTGGCTGCACCTGCGTTTTGCACGGAATTTATTGCGTTTTCGTACTATTCGAGCACCTCTGCTTAAGCAGTTTCTTCTGTCACAGATAGGGAGCCTGAGCCCTTGCATCTTCTGCAGCTGCCGCAGTTAGGGAGCCTAGAAGCTGCCACTGCCCAGCCCGGACGGCGCCAGTAGTTGGTAGCGGGGGGGGATGGCTAGTAGTAGCAGCAGCAGAAGCAGCAGAAGCAGCAGAAGCAGCAGAAGTAGTAGCAGGAGCAGCATTGGTAGCTGGATGATACCACTAGATTAGTCAAAGTTATGAAAAGACAACGACGGCTGCAATTTGCAACTTGTCCTGCGTGTGAGATTCCTTGTCAAGTAAAGACGAGCGCATGTGATTCCTTTCCAATAGCCGAGGCGGCACAGTTTCCAGTCCTCCCACTAAATCACACTTCAATCTTTGCGCTTATTGACGTCCTTTTTTTTGGGGTTGTGTTGTTGCTTTCGTCGTCCTGGTCGTTGTCATTTGCTTCTGCTGCTGTCGTGGGTGGTGGTGCTTACTTCGCAGGGTTCTTTCGCTGCCACAGCCACACTTCTGAAGCCTCAACCTTCAACCCTAAATCCTGAACCCTAAATCCAAGACAACCAATTGAATCATGCGGACGGAAAAGAGGTGTCAAAACAAAAATCAGACAGACTCGCCAAGCAAAACCCCATGACCTCCACAGATTGGAGCGCCGAGGTCGTGGCCGTCTGTGGAGCCGGGTGCTGCCGGCATGGGTTATGATTAAATTATGATGTGTGTTTAGGGTTTAAGGTTTAGGGTTTCGGATTTAGGGACTGGCAGGGATTTGGGCAAACTTCAACCCATATTCAATGGGCACTTCAGTTGCCGACAGCTCAAATCTCAATCCCGGCCGGGAAAACTGAATGCCCCTAGAGGCTTGAAGTCCTACCCTCAATGCCTCACACTCCAGCAGACCTGCCAGGCTTCGCGGCCGCGGCGATTCATTCTATTGCTTGAACTCGCCAGACGCCGGTCCCACGAGAAGAAGAACAAACAGCGGAAAAGACAGAAAGACCATGATGGTGCCTTCCAGCGACGACTACTTGTGACGGCTCACCAATTTCAGCACTCTGCGTGTTCCATCCGAGGTAAGAGAAAGGAGCAGGACAATTGCGACTGCCGCGACCGCGAGCAGTCCGAGGCGGTTTGTCTTAAACAGTTGGCGGACCGTTGTTTAGCACTTTCTTCCGAGTCGGCTTACACATGAGCATATGCCAAGTTCTCTTCCTAGTTGGCATGTCGCCAGTTACGAAGGCATACCAATGGTTTGGCTTGACAGCGATACCGAAAGTTGCTGCTAGGCGGTAGGAATGCCGATAGAGATCATAATGTGGTGATCGCGATGCTGCTGCTGCTGCTGCTGCTGCTGCCGCCGCCGCTGCTGCTGCTGCTGCTGCTGCTGACGATGATGGTGATGATTTGACAAGACGACGATGATGTGGATTTGCGCCTGCAATATCCAAACTGCAGTTGATGCTGCTGTTAGGTCTCATCAGCTGCCAATGTTGACACCAATCAAGGCAGACCGATGATAGTAAGTTAAAGGTCGTCTTCAGCATCATCCATCGTCATCGCAGCATGCCGTATTCACGATGTCAAGTCGACCCTAGCCAATGCTGAAAGTAACGCAAACTATGAACCTGAACTGCGTTGTTCACACTGGCACCGGTAACTGCAGCGGTGCTAGTGACGAGGGCCGTCGTTGATAGTTTGATACGAAGGGTGCGAGTGATGGTCACAGTGCTTGCGTTGCTTGTCAAACTGGACTTGCGAGTGGAAGTGATGGTGATGGTGAGAAAGATAATGATAGCGGCGGTACAGACATTTACAGGAAAATACCAACGCAAACTCTTACAGGACTGAGAAGTTTTTGTCCAGATGAGAGCCGAGGAAAGCAGAAGGACAGCGCAAGCAAGGAAAGCGAGTAGCACCTTCGTGATGGGCTCTGGTCTACCTTATCCACCTTGTACTATTCGGAAGTCTAAAATGTGAGCCTCAAAATCTTCACCTGATGTTCTCATCCATTTAAGGAAACATGAGCTGTGGCTTCAACGAAATGGCAAACTAGAATGCGTGCTATGACATATTTCGAGCAGTAGTTAATTTCACCTCAGATCCAACACAACACATCCCCTTGTCACCAGGCTCACAAGGAAAAGGAGAGAAAGTCCGAAGGCAGGGACGGGTGTATTTCTACTGTAGTATGTTCAAGTATAACATAAGATGATATAGTGCGATATAGTATAGTATTGTATAATATAGACTAAAATAGTATAATGTAGTATAACAGAGTATAGTATAGTATAGTATAGCATAGTATTGTATAGTACAGTACAGTATAGTATAGTATGGTATAGCATAGCATATCACGGTATATCATAGCAAGGGTGTAGTTTGGGGCTTCGGTTGCAGTGCTTCCTCTGCCTGTCGGGGAGCCCAATTCTCCGTGGTGCCTCTGTCCGTCAACCTTCCGTAATATGCTATATCATTCTAAAGTACAATACATATATATATATGTATATATATGATAGTAGACTATACGAAAGATCCCACACCCCTCAACCAAAAGCTGTCAGTGAGGTCCTCTGCCCGAAACCTGCACCCCAAAGCATTGCTACTTGGTGGTACTGGTTTGGTTGCAGATCCAAGCAGTGGCCGTGCTTTTGCAAGTGGTGATGTTGTGACCGTGGGAAATGCTATCATTGCGATAGTGGAGTGTTTAGGCTCAGTAGTATCGCTAGCGAGACCATGAACCATCGTTATGAAGCGAATAACAGTCAACATACTTCTTTTCGCAGTTTCCTTGTTTGCAATCGTGTTTGCATGAGGCCGCAAAAGGAAAAGCCGCCTTCAGTACAGGACAGCTGGCTTGCATTTGTCCGCGAGAGCCCTTGCCAAGCCCTAAACACCTAAACCCTAAACCCTAAACCCTAAACCCTAAACCCCAAACCCTTGCCTTGTCGACATCGCAGACTCGCATAGAGTGTCGGAGTCATCTCGGCAACAACCCAGGAGACGAAGCAGACACAGAGCAGAGGAAGCCGCAAACGTGGCGTTCCACTTCGCAGGCGTTGCGAAGGCTCACAGGAGCAACCCAAAGCAGGCCAAGGGCTGGTTTCATTGGATCCCGGCTATGATGGGCCTACACTTCGATCCCAGCACCAATACTGCTTTCAACCCACCCCGCGAGATGCACATGCTGGACTTCGGCAGAGAACGCCTGACCTTTAGTGTGGCAGATACCAGCATTGTCGTTAAGCTTTGTCTGAGGGACCAAGCAAACGAAAAGCTCTGGGCCAACCAGCTTCCCGAGCTGGTGGCTGAGGTATATTGGACTGGGCAGGTCACCGTCAGACTTTCCACCACGCATGGCTTGGAGGAACTCACCCTCTACGGCCTCTGGCAAAGACGAGTGGAGACGGCCAAGGAATGGGTAGAAAACTCTTCTCCTCAGATGCAGAAGAGCTTTATGACCTACACTTGCGCAGTCCTTACCTTCCTTGCTTTGCAAGGAATCCACCTGCGTGACACCGGCAGGTCCAACCTCGGACTTGTCCCTGGGACCAAGGAATCCGGAGTTCCTCGCCTGATTTTCTACGATGCACTGGACTGGAGCAGGCGGAGCAGGGACAAGAGACAGGACTTCCGCTGGTCCCAATACTGGAATTACGCCAAGGCTATTGTGCCAAATGTGGTGGAGTCGCTTCGACTCCAAGTCTCTGAAGCGCGCAGAGACCCGGCCAAAGCTGCAAAGGAGTTCACTGACCGCTGCCAGGAGTACGCTGGCCACCTGGAAGATGCCGGGGTCCTGCGCCAGGGAGCCTTTGCGGTGGTGCCGAGCTGGCTGGCAAAAAGTTGCCCGTGTAAGGCATCGTGCAAGCATGCCATAGAAATCTCGAAGTTGAAGACAGCGAGGAGATTTGCTTCGCTCGTTCTCAAGTTTGTTTCCTTTATCCTCAAACTGTTCCTATGGTCGGCAGTGTTTCCGTGTTCGGTTCAGCGTCTGTTCGAGTTTCGGTCTTGTCTCTTCCACTTTCTCTGCCTTTGACATGTTTTGCTTCATCCAGCTTTTGAGTGCCGTTCCATCCGTTCCAATCTGTCAAGATCTGGTCCTTCTTCCACATATTTCCATTACGCGAAACATGATTTCGTGGTTCTCGCCATTTCTCGTTTGAGCATTTTGCATACAAGGCTCGGGCTGCGCCGGCAGGAAACAACACATCGTTAGTGCAAGAACTTATCTTGTTTTGCGTCGGAGCCCTACGCAACCGCAGTTGCGCGCACGTGCGCTGGTAGCAAGTGTGGCTGATACTAAAAGAGACGGAGGCCAAGCGGGCTTCCCTGCACATCTGCGACGTGGCAGCCGGAGATCCCCCAGGGTTTACACCGCCTCAATCTGGCGGATCAGAAGGTTCGGAGGAGCTGCGCCATGTTTCTGCACTATCACATTACTGCCGTTTACTTGGCATCGGCAAACTGTATCGAACTTCCCAAGCAAGAAGACCAGCAAGAACAGCACTGTTCTGAATGCAAAAGCCTAGATCTTGTCGTCGTCTTCGTTATCAAGACGAGTGAACGTTCACTGTTCGGCCGGCTGACAAGCACAAATATTTGCGACGCGCCAGCGGCGATCATGTAGAACAAGAGCAGCAAACTAGAATCTCCGCAGCCGCGACAACATCGAGCATGACTATCAGGACAGCAATGCCTGCCGTGGGATCACAGCTTTAGCTCAAGCGCTGCTCCTGTAGTAGCTATGATGACCGTGATGGGAACCTCAGATCACGTGGTGCAAGAGAAAGCCCTTCGAAGGTAGAAAGCCTCGAGCCCCAAGCCGGAAACGACAAACACACGCTCATAAGACATAAGCAGGCATCACAAAGCATGAAGATGTAAGGCAAACCCAAAGCCGCAAACCTTCAACTCCACATCCCACACTGTAAACCCGAAGCCCTACACCCGAAAGCCCTGAGTTCCTTCCCAAGCAGAGCAGTTTTTAGAGGCTGCCCATGTCGCGCCATGCGCGGCTGGGGGTTCAACTCCCCGGGCCGAGCACGAGGAGGCAATATTCCGCCGAAGCTCTAGGACTTTCTAGGGTTTTGCAGAGGGGGGTTCCAGGTTTAGGACTTTAGGAAGTAGGGGTTTAGGTCTAGGAGTTTAGGGTTTGCAGTGGGGAGTTCAAGGTTTAGGACTTTAGGATGCAAGGTTTTAGGCGTTATTGGTTGGACTTTCGGGTTTTGGGCATTCGGGTTTAGGCAATGCTTCCTTCATTCTGCTTTCGGGTTTAGGGGGTTCAGGGTCTAGGGGGAGTCTTTAAGCTTTAGGGGTTGGGGTTTTTGGTGTGGCCTGTTTATGGTTTGAGGTTCAGGCTTTCTTGCCATTGCCATCGGTAGCGTTTTGATTTTGTGATGGTTTGTTATGCGCTTTTCCGCACCCCTAGCTTGCTATCATCGGCAATATCGTCATCCTGTGGACATCAGCAAAGTGAACCTTACAAGTTTTCCTGCAAATTTCTCGTAGTTGCTAGTATTTGGATTAGCTTCGTTCTTCGCGTGATTACTTGCTGGACTGTCGTCGTCGTTCCTCCTTCACATGGAAGGTCCGGTTTAGGCTCTCCAGGTTCTATTTCTTCACGAGGAGTTTGCATGGGCCAGCTGCGCAGCATGAACTGCACCGTAAGCTGTCGGCAACAGCAGCCGGGCTATTTCCTGACAAAGATGCGGAGTTTCAGGTTTGTGCATGTCGACTTGGCTTGTGAACCAGTACTGTGAGAAGACCGGCGGATCAGCTCTGAAGGTATGCACCATGACGAGTAACACTGTGAAGCCCTAGAGCCCCAAGCCTTGACCCCTCTTCAGCCCGATGCCCGGACAGCCTTGAAGTGCGAAGAGCCCTCTTTCATACCGATCTGAAACAAAGTAACGACACTGATATCTGTGATGTGAAGAGCAATATTCAAGAATTTGACGAAGCGTAACAACTTCAAACAACAAAGAATAGTGGCACTAGTGATCGTGCTTTCGAAGAAAAATACCGGTAGCCCTACGACCTTGCTTGGTTCTTGGAAGTCTGCTTTAGGATCCCCGCGGCCCAAGACTCGCGCGAAGCCCTCTGAGCCCGGCGATGGAACGGGCTCCCAGTCGCGGTTGCTGTTCGAACTTGGCTCGAGGGTTTGTGAGTTTCGGGTACATGGGGTCAGGCTTACTTGACAAAGGCTAGAGGTTGTGGAGTGCAGGGAGTTTGGCAATCCCTCCTTCATTGTGCTTTCGGACCATACAGGATCTGGTGTTAGGGTTCTTGCATGTGGTAGTAGCTCTGGGCAAGCTGTCATGAGGCATCAACTGAATTCCTGAGGGTTTGGCAGCTCAACAACCGCCTGTGCAATTCCAGCTGCGCCGGTGTTGTCGCTTGTTGCAACCAAGCCAGAGCGAAAACTTGACTAGACTCCACCACAGATGCTGAAGCTGCACACCCCAAGGCAACAAGCCGACTCATGTCCGTTGCCTCAGGAAGAGCCTCACCTTCCACGAAGACGAAGGATAAACGGTCCGGTTCCGGCCCCGCGGCTAAGATTTCGATCGGAACGGGTGAATTCGCGAGCGGCTCATTCATTGAAAGTCTAAAGACCTCGGCAGCTTTGGAACTTTCATGGACATCTATATTATTTTTTGTATTTTTGGTTTTTCTTCGTCTACTAGTAGTAGTAATAGTATTATTATTAGTATTAGTAGTTGTTGTAGTGGAGGTAGTAATAGAGGTAGTAGTCGTAGTCGTCGTCGTCGTCGTCGTAGTAGTAGTAGTAGTAGTAGTAGCAGTAGCAGTAGCAGTAGCAGTAGCAGTAGCAGTAGCAGTAGTAAGTAGCAGCAGTAGTAGTAAGAGTAGTGGTCGTAGTGGTAGTAGTGGTAGTGGTAGTGGCAGTCGGAGAAGACGAAGTAGTCATGGTGGTAGTAGTAGTAGTAGTAGTAGTAGTAGTCGTGGTGGTGGTGGTGGTGGTGGTGGTGGTGGTAGTGGTGGTAGTAGCAGTAGTAGTAGGAGTAGTAGTAGTAGTGGTGGTGGTAG